TCTGCTCCTGGTCACCGCAGCCTCGACCTGCTGGGCTCTGGTGATCCTTCCGCCTCAGCCTTCCAAGTGGCCGGAATTATAGGCGCACGCTACCATGCCCGGCTCATTTTTTGGATTTATTGTAGAGATGAGGTCTCGCTGCCCAGGCAGGTCTCGAACCCACAGGCTCAGGCAATCTACTCACCTCAGCCTTCCAAAGGCACGGGATTTACAGGCTGAGCCACCGAGCCTGGCTCACACTGGCATTTTTTATATTTTTAAGGTTTTGCACTTAACACATTACCAACTCAGCAAGTACTAGTAAGTGATTCAACTAAACCAACAGATGCAATATATTTTATGCATTAATTCCTGAAAACATACCTTTCCAGATTTCCATTTGATTTCAGTGGACTTTGAAGAAGGATCACCACTCTCATTCAGATGAAATTCTTTGGAGAGAACTTTATTTTCAAAATAAGGATTTTCATCAAAATACTGCAATAAATAATTGCAGGATTAGAAATCAACTCTTCAAACCAAAGCTCAAGTTAATTTCTACAGTGGTGAGAGCAAATTAAGTTACGGATGCTTACAAAATCTATTCTGTAACCTGATTTAATATCTTCAAATTCTGTCACTTCAACTCTGGTCAAATAATGCAGTGCCTCCTCGTCCTCCTCCCCAAGCAGTGCAGACACTAAATCAGAAAATGACAGGACAATCAAATTTTCAACAGGCAAACACTAACAACTTAAGTGATCCCTTGTAAATTATTCTAGATCTAGTGAGCCTCTTTGGTTTTACAAACCCATTAACTCAAGGCAAACTGATCAGTGTCACTGTCTTTCTTCAAGCAATTAGAATATGGCCATTTAAAAATAGACAGCAAGCATTAACAGCAGATTTCTCCTCTTTGAGGGTTTCAACCTCTGCCTACAATCCATGCTGGAGTAAGCCCCCCTCATCAAGCATCCTCCATCCCAACACACCATACCTTGAATAATGCCCTGTCCACAACGTACCTTGTGGATGGTTGACAAATGTTGTTACCCAGAAGTTTGGGATTTTGGCGATCAATTCTGACCTCTTCTGAAAAAATGGTTGGCGGAGTTTGTTATATTTCTGTTCTACTTTCAAAATCTCCTCACTGGCTTGTTCGTTAAGTCTGAAGGAAATGCAGACATACTGACAATGACGTATTAGGTAAACACAAAAACTGGTTGAGATGATTATGTATTTGCTCTTATTGCTTTACAACTGTTGAAGCACCAAGCTACAATAACTTTATCACCTAGTTTACAGGTCCAGACTCGGGTCAAATCATGGTTATTTTACCTGCTTCAACAAGCACTCAGTAATGACTTAGGTCCTAAGAGTGCCCAAACTGAGCATTCTGGTAACATCGTGCATTTATTTCATCCAATCTATTTCCAGGCAAGCTTCAATTCTGTTTCCCTAAAACAGTATTTCTAAATAAAGCTACTAATCAAGTAACAAAGTTACAGAGCAAATAAGAGCAACACTGATGCCAGACTGCTGAACTATCAGAAGGCCTACACTGCATTCAATTTCTAGCCTTTGGAAGCAAATACTTCCATCAAAAACTCTTGTGATGGTACAAATACCAAACGGAAAAATAACACCCTCTACACAGTTCTTCCCACCAAGTCATAATCTACTCTCCACAGCCGGTGGGTTTATTTGACCAGTTTCAATGATTACCATCCCATGAGATGCATCTCAAGACTTCTCCGAAGCAAGTTAAGAAAAACATTACCTGTCTATTTCATTCTGTACTTCATCAATATGTTCAATTGCTTCTTGCTGCTCTTTTTCTGCAAGAAAAAGGAGCATAAAACTTAATTCTAATTAGAAGATCAATTTTACTAGCTTTCCAAGTCATGAAGCACAAGACATAAACATTTGAACATCTAAATAAAGCTGTTAAAAAGTGCCTACTACAAGGCATGCTATGCGCTCCACGTGTTCGTGCTTGTGGTTGACAAACTACTTTTTAATTAAAGACCCTACACAAACCATGCGATCTTCTAGGCTACTCAGGAAGTATTTTCCCGTACTACCTGAGTTCCACTACAGAGACCAACCACTGAGGTTTCTGCTACGAAAGACACGGAATCACCTTATTCAGCATTCCTCATGTTTACCATCTCACATTATACACTGGCCGCGGAAGAGTGCCAGCTGCCAACCAGAATACGGAAACTAGCCCACGACAATGATATTAAAGTAGGCCGCCACCCTGCACCTCGACAGGAGAACCACCTTTCCGAGAGCTGTCGATCCGCTCAACCCTGATCACAAAGAGGACATCGGACACGCCTACGAGACGGAGAAGACCCCGGGAACGATCGGCCGGACGCTGGGCTTCGCCCTCGCAGAACTCGAGCCCGGGGCTCGAGCCGGACTTCCCGCAGCCCCGCGG